AATTCTTACAGTGCACTTAAGGTGAGGTGCAATTGTTATACAAAGTGCTATGCAGCAAAAGAATTTCCTGATGACGCACTGAATAAACATTCATGCTCACAAACAACGCTTTTCCTTTTAGCAAGTCTTATTAAAATTTTGATTGGGACAGTTGCCAGGAGCGGAACAATAAATGGGTGTCCATTGTCAACAAATGCTAACATGATGCATTTTTAAGCTACTACATTACGAGTATGAGTGATATGCCATTCAGACATTGTAAAGCAGTTACTAACTATTCTCTGAAATTTGATGCGATTGAAATTACTACTAGGAAAGACCAATGAGGTAAGTGTAGACAGTTGTTACATGTACATGGATGTATATACATGTAAATTGTAATTTTGACTCTGTTGGTATTATCTTTATGTACATTTCTTAAAAATATTTTATGATTTCTTTGCTGTACGTATGCACTACTGGCACGTTCACAAGAAAATAAAATCTCAAAAGTGGGACTGCGACATAACCTTGCAATATCTTACTTGAAAGCATAGTACAAAGTACATGAGTAGATAACTGATTGGTTAATCTTTACAACATTTCTGCTCAAAGTGTGGCTGTTTTAGAGAGAGCAAAAGTCTTTTAAGATAAGTGGATGACCATTGTTTGAGGGTACATACATGTACATGTATAATGGGCGACAACATTTGCGCATGATGTGTGTTCATGTACATGTACGTGTACATGTAGCTGCTGCAAGAGTATGAATATATGGGTAATACTATTAAAAAAACCCAGCTAAAACACACCAAAGAAATTTTTAAAAAATCCCAAACTAAAAGAAGAAAATAAGTTTGGTTTCAATGATTTAAAGTAAAAGAGAATTTAGATAAGTTCAAAGTTGCATTTAATGTATAAAAAGGGATTTACTTTATGTGAATAATGTTGGCATCTCACTGTCACCCCCCTAAAGCAAAATGGCATAGCCCCCACACAGTTGGCTGTGCTACTTGACCAACATGGCTGGCCTTTCTGAGCTGCATGCTCAGTGTATGCATTTGCACGCACGTGCACGTCATTGACACGCACAGAGACAAGAGCAGACAAGTGTACTACGGTAACTCCACTACTTCACTTGGCAGGGAAAACTGCGCTTTTTGAAAGGGAAAGAGCACCAGTTCATCTGCAGATTAACCCTTTGTGTACATTCTTCACTCACTCAGAGCATGCGTATGTACTAGTGGTAGGACCCAAGTCTGGATTTTCAGTTATCTGATTTTAATTCTATAATCAAGTTTCAAAGTTCAAAACCAGCTATCCGAAATCAGAAACAAAAACGAGCGACTTACCTTTACCACAACAATTACTGTCTTTGATCGATATCAGAAAAAGAGGCATTCCACTCGACAGCACAAAACCACAACAGACTGGCTGCTTGTAAGCACAAACACGCTGCTATCATCATCACACAACAATCCAATTCAGCCAGTGGGTGCCTCTGATCTGAAGTGCGTATTTGTTAACTTGTCACTACGATAAGGGTAAAAGTACCTCACTAGGGCTCAATCCCCGTCCCATGTGTCTTGAATACCAAATTATCCAATGTCCTTACCATGATTACGAGACTTTCAGAAACCGCTGTAAACAGACCAACTCAATTGAGCTGGCCCCCATAGCAAGACACATAACCGAACATACATAACTGTTACACAACTGTACTAGAATCATTGCAAACAATAAAAAAATACTGACATTTTAAATAATTTTTTGTGAATTCTAGCCTGGAGGCCTGAATTGTGTTTTCCAGGTTGGGTGAACTGAGCTCGAATACGTTTCCACGCTAAAATTTTATCCCTTTTGCCCAGAAGAAAATTACATTGAATATTCCTAAATGTGTAAAATAAGTTCCCTCGAATTGGTTCATGATGTTGCATACTTTGAAAACGAACAATCTTCATCAAGTAACAAGGTTTAAAACACGGTACCGGTAGAGTGCATGCAATCACTTTCTATCCTGCGCTGGTTGCCAGTGAGAGTTCAGCCACCTCCTGCATGCGAGTCGGTATGGAATGGAACCAACTACTCTAAGTCAACTCTAGCTACAGCGCAGCACCCACCATGTGCAAGGCCCTCTGCACGCCCTTGGCTTTCACACGTGCCCGTAGAAAGCTTATACACATCTGGAGGCTCTAGAAACATGGGCAGTACAAGCACAAAGCTTAGAGGGCGGTAACATGAAAAGAGCTGCCTATCACAAGATTTAAAAGACGTGAAAATGAGCCAAAATTCACTAGTTTGGTTGTCATTGGTCTGTAAACATTATTCTCAACCACCTTTCAAGTTTGTGGAACATGACTGGAAGAAAGACTAGGGGTGTTGCAAGTGAGTAATTGGAACTACCCCTCTAGGCATTCGCTGGACGCTGTGTATGACTACTGGCACAGGAGTGTAAACCTCGTGATTTTGTGGCTGAGTGAAAGTTATCATACATGTATGTGACATCTGCTTTTAATTGTGTCACAGTAGGGAAATACATATGTATACATGTATGCTTGCATTTTCAATATTTGTAGGAATACACATATTTTGAGACAGTTAAACCTTACATGTGATACTCATTCGACCTGACTATGAGCATGATGAGTATGACATGAGAGCCCACTTTTTCATGCAGGTACAACCATGGTACATTTATTTTTGTGTAAGGTTTTAGTCTAACATTACGAGAATCTAGTGCACACGAACTATTTTATCTAAATTGACCCATTCCTTGTCGTAATAAGTACAAAATTATAGAATTAAGGGAATTAAGAACTTCACCAGCTCATCTCTGCATACTTAATATATTGTCAATCGTCATTAATGACTTGTCATTAAAATTTACAAGGGACTGAAATTGCATAAAGGGCTGAGCCTGAGAGCATTCTTTCACGTGATGGTGCGCAATACTGAAGAACCAATTATTTTCTGCATGAACTTGGCCCCACCCACTGTTTCACATAAATAAAGTCAAGAATTTTCTACTTTGAGGAAAATCTGCAAAAATTGCAGATTTTGGGGTAAAAAGCGGAAAATGCAATTCTTGGTAAAAAAAAAAAATAAAACAAATATTTTTGATCATTTCTACACAAATAACCAATTACATGTAAATATGAACCCAAATTAGGAATGACAACTCATTTGGTACCTCTTAAGGCAAAATGAGGAACGTTTCCCAAAACTTAAATCTGAGTAATTAGCATTTAAAGTCAGACATACGTAAAGAATCGGTACAAAATTGATTTTCAGTTTTTCACATTTTTGGGTAGCTTAACTATCAAAAATTTCCCCTAGCTGTGTCAAATGAGTTGGAAAGACCAATAAATGTGTATAAAATGCGGATTTCTGAAGTGATTCAGAGTCAGTATTAATTTAAAAAAACATCGTAATTACCTCTCAGACACCGAAATTGACCACTATTCCGCAATGTTTTTCGTATGTTATACTCCATGTGTATGTGCCAAGTCTGATACCGTTGGAAAGAGCAGAGACTTGTCTCTCTGTTTATAGCACTGACCTCATTGTTGAAAGGTCAACCACAAAATCACCAGGTAGGAAACATGTGGCCCTGGATATCATTTCCTGAAAGTATGAAACCTACATCTTTCTTAACTGAAGAGAAATTTGAGTGCAAGATCTCCATGCATAATGTTTACATGTGCATTCAAAGAAAATCCAAGTCTCGCGTTCCATCAAGTCAAAGAGTTTCGCCGTGAAAATCATACTTTGATTTCTCATCATTTTCAAAAGATACTGGTATTAAACTTTCAGGATGTCACATTTAACTCATGACTTCATCTGAGCTAAAAAATGATAGTCCCCAGGTGACCACAAATGTGCCATTGCTATGGGAATTGATAGTACATGTACTTTTAAACAGCCCGCACAATGTACGTTGTAGACAATTGGTGGCGCGCGGTCTGTTACCCTTTTTTCAAAGGCGGTTTTCTCAAAAACTAAATTCGGCTCTCCTGATGACACACACCGTCTTTCTTGCTTCGTATTTTCTGACACGAGTGGCGCAGGGAAAAAATTTGGTATCATTGTAAAGCTTAATAATTGCTCTTTATTTTCCTGCCTATATCTCAAGAAATCGGATTTCCGGATCAATCCTCAAAATGCCATGGTAGGTCATATTTTCACTGTTTCACTCACTTTGAAAGTAACATTTGATAACGTTTCCCCTTCTGTTTTTCCTTTGCGATATTGATTTCCTCCGGCTCCGCACCGCAGAGATCATGCAAGTCCTGTTCCCTACATAGCGCCCAGACATCTCACGGCTTATGAATAAATCAATGGGGACGGGGACCAGTCCAAGATCACAGTGGCATGGTGCATGTAGGCCCTACATGTATCATTATGCCAAAGATGGGCTACCTGTAGATGTATGGTAAATGTAGGCCTACAATAACTGTACTGTACATATGTACAGTCACATATAGTTTTTGTACACACAATTTAGAAAGCGGAACAAAGCAGAATTTGATTTTCAAAAAGCAGAAAATTCTTGACTTTAACATAAATCTAGTCATGAATGTTCGTCCCAAGTCACATTTACCAGAGATTTCTATCAATGTTACTCTGAGTTAAGTGCCTACGAATTTTCTAAAATATACTGTTCGACAAACTGCAAACAGCGATTTCAATGTTGACAAAAATGTTAATTTAGTGACAATTATGACACATTTGAACTATGCAAATTAAAAAGACACTGTGATTTAGTTTTCGCAGAGTACAAATAATATTTATCAACCGAGTCCACAATTGTAGAACACACTCCAGCAGCCACTGAATGGACAAACTCTGTAATTGTTAGGCCACGTGAGTTGTTCACACTTTCAAAAGGTCAACAAAACCAGATAACCGCTTTTTAAAAAATTGTTCACTAGTTTTGAAAATCTCCAATTTCTCCCGCCAATCAAATGTGTAGGTTCCAATTAACAAAGACATTTCTAGTTTTTTAAAAAAACCAAACTTACTTTTGGCTAGCTAGGCCTTCCTTGTGATCCCTAACTGTGTCAATGAAGATTTTGAAGAGAAACTCTAGATCCCGAGGCCCACCCATATTCTCAGGATGGAACTGCACAGCAAACAGTGGTTTGGTGTTGTGTACAATGCCCTCATTGGTCCCATCGTTGGCATTGGTGAACAGGACTGACCAATCAGCAGGTAGCTTGGATGGGTCAATGGCAAAGCCGTGGTTCTGTGTGGTGATGTAGCAACGATCAGTGCCATTGTGGGTGCATGGCTGGTTGTGGCCTCGATTGCCATATCTGGGGTACGGTGGGTAAAACAACTGTTAGGCAAGTTCTTCCAACTTACATGTATGTTTGATGACTGTTTAAATTCCTGTCACCTTGTATCAGAAGTGCTTTTTGTAAAGGAAATTTTGCCACTAAAGACAGCATATTACTTTCTGAGATGAATGCTTTTAATTTTCAGAGAGGAAAACAAGCGCAGAGCAGAGCAATTAGCACATGCTGCCTCACAACATTGACAGATTTGAATCATTCCACTCATAATACTAGAATATTGTAGGAAATGTATAGTTTTCTTGGAAATGGATCTTCATGATATACATAAAGTATATGTACGATAGATTTAAGTCATTCTGCCATGAACCATGTACTGTATCTTGGATAGTGTAGACTTCTGTTTTACAGTTAAGTATATTAAAATCTTGATAAGTCAAAGCTCGTTAAGTCGAAACTCCATTTATCTCGACGTCTTTCTGTTTCCCGACAAAAGAATAGGCCTTTATGTACAATACACTATCCGCAACTCGAAATGTCAATACCACTAAAGCCGCTTATCTCGAAGTTTTGGCAGGCCAATAAAAAAAAAAAACACTGAAGAATGATGAATAAAAAGTGATAAAAGAACGCTTGCCTTTATTATGAGTCATTACGGTCACGCGCACGGCTTTTCTTTGATGAGCCGAGCATGTTCATTGTCACGTCGACAAGAACTGGTGGGCATCAACTGCAACCGTAAAATAAGGCCCTGTCCGAAACGGGCTTCAAGAGCTATGGCTACGTCCATTGTCTGGGCGTCTCCATGCATTTCCAATGGAGAGAATACCAAGACCTAGCTCTAGACAAGAGATTCGGATGCAGCCTAAATCAGGCACGAATGATGCGCCCTCAAGTGCTTTGTACATGTATCACGTGACCCAGCACGGAAACCCTGACCGTTAAGTGGTAACAGCCCGATCAAAGCAAATGAATGAATTCTCAAGACATAGACACAGGTACCGGTACATAACTTCATTGGGTTATTGTTTATTAATGTACCACATGAAAACATGTTTAATGATGACGTTTGAGGAAAACTTGCACAGTAGGGATAGCCAAAAATCCACTTCGTGTTCGACTCAGCTTGCAGGCCAACTGCCGTAAGCTAGCAAGGTTGCATGTGCATTGAAACGAGTAACTTTCGATAATCGAACATCGGATAACTCGAACTTTTCGTCCATTCCCCTGAGCTTCAACTTATCGAGATTTTACTGTATGTACATGTGAACAAATTTTGTACACAATTTTTATTGTACATGAAATTTGTGACATGCAATCTCCAACACTGTTTCACCAATGCACAGCACATGCCAAGGACATAGGATATGGCACAGAGGATGTTATTGACAGCCAAGTTCTCTCTTTGTTACCATAAAGACCTCATTTTGTCTTTTTCTTTCCAGTGAGGACTTACTTCATCTTGAAGGAGCCAGTTCCCAGTGCCAAAGAGATGAGCTGATGTCCTAGGCAGATACCGAATACCGGTTTAGGGTTGGACTCATTGAGAATACGTCGAATGTGTTGTATAGACTCCAAACACATCTCTGGGTTACCAGGTCCGTTGCTGAGGAACAGGCCATCATAGTCTAAATAACATATGGCAAAGGGATGTTAAAAGCTGGACCTGGAGAAACTTTGCAACAGAGGATGCCAAAAACTACCAACATATATAAAGCACACATCCCAACCTTGGATTCACATCCAACTTCCATTTCATGTGATTTCTGGTGAGTTAAGTGACAGAAAATGGTGTTCAAGTTCATTAAGTCATTAAAAAAGGTCAAAAAGAGTTGAAAAGTTCTAAAATAAATTCATGTCACCGCTCCAATACTTGTGCCTTCTGAACACATTCCGTCGCCCAAATTATGGCGCGTCATTCAATGGTGCTAGGGGAATTTTTTAGATGAGATCACTTGCCTCTTTGTTTGTTTTGAATACAGTTACGGTGTGCCGAACAGGACATTGAGCTTTCTGAACTGTAAGTAAGAACTAGTGTCATTTCCATCTAGAAATGTTTTCTGAGCTATTAAATTGAGGAAAGTCAACCTTGGATTTAGCTCACGCACGGTAATTCATAATTCTGTTATTTTAAGTGGGTTTTGCAGAGGGAATTTGCTTACAAATCGTGGATTGGTTTCTTTGACATTGTTGGGGTCATTGGCGGAGGTCCTATCACCTCCCGAGGTAACCGAGGTCCAAGTTTAGAAGGTACATGTACCTCCTTGTGTGATGTTGAATAAATGGATGAGACAAGTTATTCCCTATCCTGCTTGCCAGTTACTTGTCTGTCTGATAGGGTTGCCAGCAAGTGTGGATATACATGTACTTTCCACAAACGGACTCACCCACCGGGTTGTTGAGAACCCTCCGCCCACAGGAATTCCCACCGCGCACGGAGCCACTTCCACGCGCTACCGTAGTAGCAAGACAAAAATCGCCACAATACTTAACGTGAACTAAATGCTTTCAATTTGTTACTCTTTGATTGTTATCAAGACAGGTCAACAAATCAATGGTGCCTTGGCTGGGCCTTAAAAATCCTGCCACGGGATGGGAATTAGTACATATGAGCAATTTAGTGCTCCAACTTCTGAACTGGTTTCTGACATCTTTCTAGGGCCACGTTCAAATTCCTTTGTCATGGCATAGAATAACGCGCACATCTACACATCATACAAGGGGAACAGAATTAGCAACTAGCTTGTGGATTCCATAAGATCATGTGTTATTTCCATGCAGCCAAGTAACGCTGACATGTCTTAAAAAGGAAATGACAAAAAAAACCCAGCATGTCCTTATTGAATAACCTCTTCACTATGAAATGTAAATTAACAAAAAGAACAGGGAAAATACCATTCGGAGGTAATTTCTGATTAAAATGAAACACAGACTTGTTTATACCATTGCAGAAGGTCTACAGTACATTGTGCCGAGCAATGTTTCAAATGAAAGATTTTCAAGGGAAACTTGTCGACAGCATTTGCATACAGGAGTACCTTGGCTGTTCAATAGATGGTTCCAGGGCACCACCTCAATGCATGCACCACAATCAGCCAGTAGTCTCAGCTGGTTGAATTTAATTCCTGTATCTAAGGCAACAATCTTAACTGAGCCCTTAGGATTCAACACTCTTGGTTCCTGGATGGAGAAAATGCAAATCAAGGTCAAGAGTCACTGTACAATTTGTCAGTGAGAAAATAAGCACAGTGTGATGTTTGTTGAAGTATATTACTTCTGATTTTACGAACACTTTTGATGCAGGTCATACTTCAAAAAATAGAGGAAGGAAACAGAAGAAGTGGCAAGTGACAGTAAGTACAGTACTTCTCAGGAAATTGATCATGCAATGTTTTAATTCTAAGGTTAAATGTTTGGCAGCCAATGTTTTACTAACCTACATGTACATGTACAGTATAATCTATTTTTTTTACCTTTGAGGAAACTTCAGCCACCAAATTCCGGAGATTTGGATCCTCAAAGGGAATTGACTCAGGACTGGTTCCTTCAACAACAATCTGCAAAAAATAAATAAATGGAAGAACAAAACTAATGCCTAACATGATTTTGTTGTTGCTTCATGTTTTATTACATGTCAGTTGGCTACATGAGAAGTTGATTAATTTGTCCATTGAAACTCCAAAAACTGCTCAGTCATGGTTACGTAGAAAAGAAACACATTTCTGAGGCGAAGAACTTTTGATAGGTTACTGTAACAACTTGTAGGGTTACAGAAATAGAAAACGTTTAATTTTCCAAAATAACTACATGAATAAACCATTTCAAAAACATCATAAATTTATTGTTTAACCCATTAATTGTGACCCCAAAATAAATAAAAATTTCCTGCATTTCCCCGCCAACAAAAAAATCCTCAAGATGTATTTTTGCGTTGGGGAGATGTTAATTATATATATAACGGTTTTGCCCGTACCCAATG